GTCATGGTAATTATCATGATATTAAATAGCTGAGTGCCATAGAAGGAACACAAGTCATTACCACAGTTCTACATACAATAACTCTTAAACATAATTACTATGTAATCTTTAGGTGATTGAAGTATCTTGCCAGATCCATGTGCATGCTGCCAGTATAGCTATACATAAAAGAATACTACTTAATCAGAAATTACTCAACTGGATTTTCTGTCATTCCCCCTCCCCGCATGTGATCTTTCAGAGCCAGCTTTTGCAGAAATGTGCTACTTGTACTCAGCTTTATTACAGTGAATTTGCTTCAATAAATAATGCCAAGAACATATGTACATGGTTGCAAGACTTATTTAAGTACAAAAGGGACACCTGGCTTTTTATGGGCAACTTGGGAATCCGAAAGCCCACTGAAGTCACGGGAAGGATTTCTATTGTCTTGGTCAACTCTGGAGCAGATGCTTGACCGTTGAAGTAACTTTGGTTACCTCAGTAACTGCAGACAGTACAAAGATGTGCCAGCTGACCTTAGAGGAAAGATGGTATATCTCATATAAGGATATAACCATCAGGAAGTAAATTTTAACAAATGCTAGTGGAAAAGAATCTGTGGCATTGTATTCAGAACCATATTCTTTATGATATATATTTGTTATAATTCTTGCTTAACCTGTGATGTCCATGAATGCATAGCATTTCTTCAACGCATTTGTAGATAGATTCAGCGGAGTGTAGTCAAATTTGCTCTGCATAACAGTATGAATTGTGTGATTGCACGGTGCTCAAAAATGTAACTTCAATGTGGATTTTTTTTTTTCTGTAAATAGATTTCATGGTGCTTCCTTTGTGAATTTCAAACTGAATATAAAAATTTCAAGACATCATTCCTCGGATCTCTTGGCCACTATCATTTAAAAGGAAAGCAAAAATAACGGGCTTATATAATCTGTTACAATATTTTTTTGACCATTTCCTTTGTTGCTTCAGAACAAACTTCAAAAGTTCCATATTTACTTGAATAGCAAGAATATACAAAATACCCATCCTCTGAAGTCGCATACTGTTTCTTTGGAGTGAACCACATACAACATTTTCTAGGTTTTCCTCGTTTCTGAGAGCAACATCTTCATCTGTGCATGAGTAAACATATCCTCCTTGGTTTCTGATCAAATTTTAATGGATTCCTTGCATGGCAAATAGAATGTCCCATTTTGGTAATTAATTTTGATCTGATTCACACTCCTGGAATTTATCATTCAGAAGAATCAGATCAGGCTGGTAGTTTTAATTGCACTTAGAGCTTAGTAAGTATTTATTTTTGGAGTGTATATTACAAAATGTATTTATGTATAAAGAAAAGTCATAATTCTAATATGTTTTGCTGCATTCTTATATACGTAAGATGTACATCAGTATTTCATATGCCATATGTGAGATATTGTAATGAATCTATAAAGCTCATATTTTATTTATTGAGTAAGATTTCTTAACCATTGAGTTGACATAAAGCAATGAAGGAGTCAAAGTTTATTATTTCATCAAAGGTCTTTGTAGGGTTAGGGAAGTTTGGGGATAAGGTTCAAGTTACATGGTTGTAATCTGTTTCCTTGCGAGTTAAATTGCTAGCACCCAGTCCAGCCTTAGGGTTTGAGTACATTAGGTTATTGTCTCATCAGAAGCAGAGATGAACAGACTAAACTTTCTCACTTGCATGTTAATTGTGCAAATTATATCGTTCGTTCTTTTGTCAAGAAAATCTAGATCTTGTGCTTTCAGTTAGTTGATGCAAATATAGGAAGAATTAGTAGAAATGGGAGGTAAAAATTGTATTTAGAAAATGCTGTAGAAAACTGTATTGTTTTATATAATTTGAAGAAGTGATTGTAAATAAAAACTCTGAAATTTAAAATTCTTCCCTTTGACCTCTTTTCTGAATGCCCTATTTCCAAATAAAAGGGACATAGTCATGGTCATCCATGGAAAAATCTACACATTAAAAAAAATATATCTTGTCCATTGGAAATAGCCTTCAAATCTTTCAGTGGCTGTTACCCCTCTGTTTGGTGACGGGCAGCTACTATCAACTTGAATGTGTAAAAACTAGTGGGAAACAGAAATGCATTGCAGATGCCCCTTGAAAACTTCTAGATAATATGTTACTTGAAAAGGTGAAAGAAAGATTGGAGACAACGTTTTACAGAGACATGAGGAAACTTGTATTACAAAATCTATCCTCAATCTTTTAGATCTCCTCTACTTCCATAGGAAGAATTTGGGGAGTCTTTGGCCATTGAGGGCAGAATAATTTATCTGGGGTTTTCTTCTGACCTAAGGTGAGCAGGGTGATTAGACATAGTTTCCAAGTCCAACACAGCTTTTATTGACATGAATTAAACCCCTTCCATTAATACCAGTTAGCTTTAAATTTGAGCCAAGGGAGAGCGAGAATGAGATAGCCTGACTTACACTTTGATCTCTCGTAGACTCTGAAATACATACATTTGATGCTGGTTTGCAACAAACAGTACTTCTCTTTAAAACTCTCGGGCTTAAAATGGCAGCAGCATTGTGAGGGGAAATCACAAACTTTGATCGTCCATGTTGTGCTGAGATTCGTGATTTTTTCTGTAGTATAAATTACGTGGACCTATCGGTACTGCTCTCCACTGTCATGCTCCCCACATATCAATCTATCTTAGCAATTGTAAACACAGTTACTACTAAGTAAGCTAAATTCTTAACCTGTGGAATTTATAGTAAACCCTAGAGAGCCAACAGTTTCTGTCAACTGAGGATAATGGCCATATTGTGATTGTATGTCCTTAATAAATCTGTATGCATAGAGAACAAGTTGTTAACCGGAGATAGGTATCGCCGGACTTCACCATCATACGTAGGATCGTTGTGTCAGCAAAACGTGACCCGGAAGTACTAGAGAACTATTATTATGTTGGCAATTTGTGGGGAAAATCGTGAATGATAGAAGTCTTTCTATCTGAAAACTTGCTATGCTTGATGCTGTAAGGATGTGTGAATAGACGTTTAATCAGCATGACTGCAGGCCTTAATCTTAGCCGAGTGTATTTTAGTTAATGAATACAAGATGGTTTCTGAATTTTGTGATTGAACAAGGAAGTAAAAATCGTTACATATTTTTGTTCTTTATGTGTGTATGTTTTTTCAGTAGAAAATAAATACTAAACGTCATGAAGCTTGACTGTATGCTTTCTGTGACACTTGAGCTCTGATATCACTGTAAAAAGTGTCTGGAAATTAAAGAATGAGGATAAGCAGCCTATAGAGATGCTATACATAAGCAATTCCTTGATAATAATTGAGGACTTAACAGTAATAATAATTGACTCAACAGGTTATTTGGGGAGGTCCTAAATTCTTGATGATTAGGGATGGATGTAGGCACTTGTTTAGGTGCTTCTTTGAATCAGGGTATAAAATATTAGCACAAATTAGTTGGAAATAAACATATTTTAAATGTGTTTGTGACAGATGTTACAGGAACAAAGGCGACAGATATTAAGATAATCAGCTGCTAGCATAGGCCACATAAGCTCAAAATCGACTATATACAAAATGACAAAATGTTAAAAATATTTTAACGAAGTTTTTAAAGATTCTCCTGTGTTTGTTTCACAAGGGGAGTGTTTTAACTTGTTTATTTTTGAGGGGGTCTGAAAGATTTAAATTACTTTCCAACATAATGGCAAAAACAAGTTAAGAATTTTAAAAAGTTGGTAGCCATTGCTCAAGAGCAGCCCACCGAGGTAGGCAAAAATCAGAAAGATGTTACAAAAGAATATATGATAAAATGCCACCCTTAATTTCATTCAGAGCATGAAATGACTGATATGAATATGGTTTGCAGATAATAAATGTGGATGCTTTTGAAAAATGTAGGTGGAAAAGATAGACATATATAATAGAAAAGAGAAAAATTGTAATAAAAAGAGTGAACGTATTTTATTAATTCTGTAATAAGGAGCAGCTTAGTGACCATATAACTGCTGTCAGTGGTAAATAGTGAGGAGGAAATAGAAACTTCTAGAAGTAGAAACTAAGGCATGAGTGGCTGATCGTAGTTTAAATGGTTTACAAAGGAGATAACTTAAATCTGTACAAATTTCTAAAATGTGTATCTGTGTGTATCTATCTATAATCCTTTAGCAAGTGCTGCTTAAAAGGCAAAAAAATACTCAAGTGCATCTATTGAATGGAATGAAGTTGTACTGCTATTTTTACTGTGGATCTAGCCTCTGGAAAACTGGCTCATAATAAGTCATGAAAATAAGAGTCAATGAAATTTTGCAGAATCATTATACAACACATATGAACATTGAATTGACTTTAATTGACTGTGATTGTGTCCCTCCATTTTCTGCCCAAATTTTGAATGAAAACAAACCTAAGACAAAAATTAGCCCCAATGGCAGAACATTTCTTTTCCCCCCCAAAGTAGTTAAGACCCAGTCTTACCTAAGATTTCTTTATAACACTGTGAACTAGACAAGGTTTATGCCTAAGATTTAGGTACAATCAAAGGAATCTCTTATTACTGTCAAGCAATTTAATTGGGCTCATGTTTTACTTTTACTGATTACAGTCCTCACAGATGCCTCTACTGGATTTTTAAGAGTTATCAAGTGAATTATTAATGATCACTCAGAAATTTGTGTCTCACTTTCAACTGTAATTAGGCAAGGGCGTATGGATGCAGCTATACTTAAGAAAAACTAAAGAAGTTACATAAGGGTTGTAATATTTGTCCCCCAGAATCTGCTTTTTTACATCCTATGGATTAAATGTATGCCCTGCCAGTTTGCTACTTTTTATAGTATTTCATTAAATTATGGTCAGGAGAAAATGTATTTGCGCTATGTACCACAATTGCACATTTATTCTGTTCAGATACAATCTGCATATGCCATGCCTGCTTTTCCAGTGGACACAACAATATATAATCGCTCATCAACATTATTTGCTTTTTCCTTTAGGGGCTGATGTTATCAATTTTGATGGCCACGTAGTGTTACCTTACAGATTCAGGAACAAGAAAATGAAAACACTGAAAGATGTCATCTCTCTGAAATTTAAAACCTCTGAAAGTGAAGGTGTAATTTTCCACGGAGAAGGACAACAAGGAGACTATATCACCTTGGAACTTAAAAAAGCCAAACTGGCTCTTAATTTAAATCTAGGTATGCTTTGATTATTTAGTTTTGGGCATTTTTTAACTCTCAAAAGAATTTGCAGTAAATACTATACTCTTTTTTTCCCAAAGTTGTACGGTAAGCCACTTCATGCAATCAGATCTTTCTGTGAAAATGTTGATCATTCCATTTGCTTGCCTTTCTTTTCCGTTCCATTCCTTCCCTTTTACTCTACATGAAATAATATGAACTTAAAATCATATGTAAAAGCAAGGTCAAAGTATGTTATCGTTAGAAACTTGCATGAATGAAAAAACCTTGATAGGAATATATTTGGCTTCAGGTATCTGATATTCTGGTCAGCTTGTCATGGTCTCATTTATAAAAATAGTAATAAAGTGTTTGTATGAGAGGAGGACTCTGTCAGCAATGCTAGTATAATCAAAATTATCCTTAGGAAGCTACAGCAAAAAAGACACCACTTTGAGAAGCTGCAGACCATCTGAAGTTGAGAAAGAAGCATAGCTTGAAGGTAGACGGAGGGAGGATCCTTGCATTTTAAACTCCTAGTATGAAACACTAGGCCCATTGAAGCTGTTAAAACTGCTGTTGGCTTTTATGTAGATAAGATATGAACAGCTAGATCTTCACATTTATCTTAAAGGGGAAAGAAAGGAGATGTCAGTCTTTCTACAAACTTGGCTGAGACTGAAGGAGATGGAGAGTGGAAATCACAGTGTTAGAAGATCTGAAAACGAGAGCTAGAAAAGGAATATAACTCACCTGTGAATCAGGCATCCTTAACAAGCTTATGAGACCTGGATATGTTCTTCTAGATCTTGCCTCCTTTTTGCCACTGAAAGAATAGAGGCTTATGAGCAAGCTGATTTATAAAGTACCTTTTTTTTTGTAATGAAACAAAAGTGCATGTATCTGGTTTCAGGTCATCTTTTCTTTAAGAAAAATTGATTTTAGAATAAGGCTTCTTGTAACTTTCCTTACTTCTCTTGCAGTCATGTGAACAGTAAATTATTCTGTTCATGTATTATTTACCATGAATAGTAATTATTTCCACTAGCATTTTCTTCTGCTCTTTTTCTGAAGATCAACAACGTGGGAAGATGATGATGAGGAAAGCACACCTTCCGATATCAGCAGTCTATTTTTAACAATTTTAATTGAAATGCTAACCCATTCATTTCCAGTTTCTTCATGTTCTTCAGTTTAGTCTATCTCTATAATTTATTATAACTTCCGTATACGTGTTTGGTGGGGAGGTGTTTAAATTATTAAACTGACAGACAGTGTGACACACGCTTGCTTGGTAAACAGAGGTAATGGTCTATGGTGTTACCCTTCCAATGCCTGAGAGTGTTATCTGCATCAGAGTTAGTGGAAAAGGATGTTCATGGAGCTTGGTGAAAACCAATGACTTACTTTCAAACATGCGAGGAGGTGGATTTGGGTCTTATTTGTACAGATTTGACTTTGCATGGAAGAAACTGATGCACGTGTACATGTGTGATTTTGTTTGTTTGTTTGTTTGTTTTTACCAACAGCCACTGAAGGATCAGTAGCCTTTAGCAGAAAGGTGGTAGAGTTGTGGGGGGTAATGTCTTAAGCTATGTCAGTGTGATTTGCCAGAGTGTGTTTATCAATGTGCAAAGCCTTAACGTCTGAGTTCCAGACGTGCTTGATGCTAAGAAATTCTCAGCTCCAAAAATACTTTAGGTCCTCATGTATTCAAAACATAGAAGATTGCACTGAGTTATTGGGCAGTGCAGCAGTTTTTTAGACCTGTTGCTGAACTGGTCATTTGCTGCTTCAGTTGAGTTCTATGCTATCAACTTTTATTGGCTAAGCTATGTCAGTTAGATGGCAATGAGATGTGATCTCTGACTAGCACAGCGGTACTGGCAAAAGGCCCTGGAAAACACAGGAGTAAATTGCAAAAATGTAGTCTTATTGATAGTTAATTTGTCTTCCAAAATATTAAAGTTCATGCAGTAGGAAAGACCAAAATAAGCTAAGTTAGCAAAACACATATTTTGCAGCTGTTTCTTCAGACTGCACTGAGCCCTTTCTTATACAGTAGCTGGTGTAGCGATACTGGCAGAGTCTACCAAGTGTAGAACTCTTTAAGTGTTTGCTGTTATCAGACTGAAAAGGCTTTATGTTATCAGATTCTGTTGTCAGGCACCAAGTCCTCTACAGTAGTAAATCGGTATAGTTCCAGTGAAGCTGAGAACCTGGCACAATGGCTCTTCAGTAAAGGTGACAGCTTTTCACTTCTGTAGTGTAGGGATCAAAACACAGAAAAAAAATCTCTAGTTGCAAACAACTTTATAGCTGAAAGTTCATACTGCTTCTCTTATTTGCCTCCAACTAATGACTGTTACCACTGTTTATACAGCTCACTGATCAGGTACTTGCTGTATTTGACCTAACCTCATATTTATGGCAACAACCCTCCATTGGGCAGATCTTAGCTTCATAGTGGGCTGACCTCCTCCGGTTTATTGCGTGTCTGGTACGATTCAGGTGAAATATTGACGGAGCAGGAGGGAAATGTTTGCCTAACCAGTATGAGTGAGGATTAAATGAACTGCTGTTTTTTCTGTTCTGATCTTAGGTAGCAACCAGCTGGGCTCTATTTATGGCCATACATCCGTGATGACAGGCAGCCTCTTAGACGATCACCACTGGCACTCAATCATCATAGAGCGCCATGGGAGAAATATCAATCTCACCTTGGACAGGCACATGCAGCACTTCAGAACCAATGGAGAATTTGATTACCTGGACCTTGATTATGAGGTAGATGTTCAAACTAGCTTTCTAAAGAAAAGTCCAATAAGAAGAAAAAAGAAAGTATAATTTAAGATATTTTGGTACTTTTGTATACATTTGCTGTGATTATTTTTCCTTTACCATTCCTCAGATTTTCTTTCTGACAGTTATCTCTTAGCCATAAACTTAGTTTCCCTCCATTAGTCTACTAGATCCTAAGTTTGACCAGACCTAGCCTCTGTTGTAAGCCTCATGTCATCCACTGGTTTTAAAATGGGAGATTTAGAGTATTTAGCAAGTTAAGCATATACTGCTATTAAATTTTTTAATACCAGCTGCTATAAATGATAAGTAAATAAAAACAAGGCATAACATCTGTTATCCAATCCAGTTGATCATTATGCGCTTGGAGAGCCTTGTTCTGTAGTGACCACTAATATTAATTTCTAGCAAAGGAAGTGGATTAGAACCTTTTTGCTAATATGAATCTTGCTTTATTTGGATGCTTCCTTGCATTTTTATAAATATGCCATCAATAACTTCCCGTCTATAAAGGAACAGTAAAGAATTAGAAAAGTTTTAGGAAGACTTCTGTTTCGTCAGTCAGTTAATACACAGAACTGTCGTTAATAATCAAATCTGGATTAGTTGTTTGATTACAGTCTGGCTTCTGCTACTATGGACTTGTTCAGTTGTTCTGTGATGTTAGATGAATATGAACTTCAGCACAGTTATTGTTATCCGCTTTGTATAGTGATTTTCTTCCATTCTTGACTGTTTCTAATGAAAATTAATGTTGTTGACTGAGCCAAATATGTATTTCCATCCTTGCAACTTTGTAAACAGTGAGAGAAAATCATAATGATGTAGTGCAGTGAAGTTTCAATTGAACTTTTGTATTGATTTTTTACAAACATTCTTTTGATCAAGAATATAATATGAATGTTTGGGAAAAGTGGCAATGCAATTGTAAATATCACTGAATCAAATATTTACTTTTATTCCAACAAATATTTATTAATGCCTTCTTTGGTAGCAGTAATAATAAGATAATAAGGAGCTAATTTGCCTGTATCACTACTGCTGTTGAGGTACTGAGGATCTGAGTTGAGCGACTCAAAACTCACATAAGTAGGTTTTATGGAAGATTTTCAAGTGAGTGAACAACAGAAAGAGTTAGGCTGAATGCCCTGAGCAAGAGTTGGGCAATATATTTACATAGTAACTGTATTGTTTATAACAAATGCACTCAAAAGTGAGAGTGGAATCCAGGAGATCCACCTTTTCTCTCTTCTGTAACATTAGACACCTCACTGGTAGTTCTCAAAGGTTTCAGTTTCCATGTATATAGAACTCTTCATGTTAAGTGGAAGTTATCTGAATGTTTGTGGCTACCTGTTTTTGTGGTTCATAGGAATGCAAGTCTTCAGCTATTCTGCTTCCTTTCCTCTCGGTTGGCTGTTTTTGGAGGTTAGTCATCATAGATATTTACATATTTTGCCCTTATGATAAATTACTCATAGCAGATAAACCTCAGAGAATCGAAACTTTTTCATAAAAAATAGTTTCTAGGTTAATCTCTTTCAGAAAAGATAAGGAAGCACAAAAGAGAACTAAACGTTAGTTCTGATTGCATTTCCAAGGCAAACCCCCCCTAAACTTATCAGTTCCTCTTAACTCACTGTCACCATATGTGATTTTTTGCAATTTTTCTCCTTTTCTTCAAAATCTTTTCCTTTCCATTTTTGGCTATCCCAGACAAATGAAAAAAATGCACGTGCAAAAGAATGGTTTGCAGGATTTAAAACATTATGGTCGCATCCTTCAGTTAGTTTAAAATGGTACATCTCCTCTAAAGTCATGTCATGTCAATTTACAATACCTGAGCATATGTCCACAAAGCACTTTTGAAATAGCCTGTATGTGCTATTTTTAAAGATTTTGATTTTTAGCTGTACAGCAGCTTTATTTCTTCCTAAATGTTAAGTCAAAGCATCTCCAGTTTTGCACAGAGTGGTACCTTGCACACTTTTCATATGGAAAATGTTTCCTTTGAGCTGCCTTTTCCTGCTCTCAGTAATAACCAATGGAATTAACAGTGAGTAATATTTTAAAGCTTGGCTCTGGCAAATCCTAGCAGGAGACTACAAGTAGAAATCTTTATGGGCATTCTTGAGGAAGGGTAGCTAGGTATCATTATTATCTATGGCATCATCTATTTGATATAAATGCTTAAGGACACAAAACTCATGAGGCCATTGTTCTTCTACATTCAAGGTGCAAAATATTTATGAAAACATGTAGCCTTTATTCACTTCCAAATATTTGTGTAGAGACGTAAATACTCTAAAGAGTGACAGAGGTGGACTTCTTAAGAGAGGAACATTTTTATCTTGTACGGTATTTGTTTGCATTATTTTTTCAGCCCTAACTACACTGGATAACCCAATATTTTAGCATGATGAAATTAAACATAAAAACAATTCCTGTTTGACCGTGGTGGCTCAGCCATCTGCTTCTAAGCAATTGGTTTGGCCTGACAAGTCTTGTAGTACCTCCTCACTGACTATAACTGCTTGATAAATGTGTGTTCTCAATAGCAGAAGGTGATCCTGCCTGCTAGTGGATGACATCTTTAACTATGTGGTTCTACAGAGTTCTTCTTAGTTAAGCAGATATATAAGCAGTGAAGGAAGTCTTAGTGGAGCCCACAACTGCTGTGTTCTTGTCTGCACTTTGATACACAGTTAGAGCTCAGTGAATGATTCAAATCATATAGTCTGGCTAATTTTATATCTCCTCTTGTTTAGAGCAGTACTGGGATGGACACAGTGTATTTCGGGTTCTTTATTTGAAATATGTATTGTTCAGTAGCAATTGAAAGAGCCACCCATATGTGAACAATGATATGATGTGTGTCTGCTCTCTGTTTGGATGAATGTAATAACGCTTGGGATTTACTAGCGTAAATATTTGCAATCACAAATTCATGATAGCTTTTTTTTTTCCTGCTTTTTGTAGTGCTTATTTGATAGTTCCTTTTTCTGGCAAGCAGTTGTGCCAGAAATGTGTCTTGAGCGTTCAAAGAAAGCAAATATATCTGCAGCAATTTGTTTAAAAATTCTAACAAGTCTCTACCCTCCAGTAACTATCTACAGTTTTCTATTTTGATTCAAAGATAACCTTTGGAGGCATGCCTTTTTCTGGGAAGCCGAGTTCTAACAGTAGGAAAAATTTCAAAGGCTGTATGGAGAGCATCAACTACAATGGTAATAATATCACTGACCTTGCCAAGAGGAAGAAATTGGAACCTTCTAATCTGGTAAGAGTATAATTTGATGGTCATCTGAACTTCTGCATAGTAAAGGAGACTGGAAGATTTGTGAATGTGTGTAATGGATATCCTTGTGATATGCAGGAGTGATTTGATATACAAAACAAATTTTGTCACATACCCGAAGAAGTTATTTTATGTGCCTTTATGTGCCATTTTTAAATGTCTCTGAGCGTTTTCCTTCTGAGGGTCCTGTTTTGGTCCTCTCCAAAATTACCCTTCGGTATCAGATAGCTACTTTTTAAAATAAAAAGCTGGAACAATAAATATTTCTTTCTTCTCCTCCTAAGTTGTAGTGATCCAAAACCAGGGTCTGATGCCAATTGTGGCTTTGTCTTGGCTTTACAGCCTGAGATCTTCCATTCCTGCAGAGCTAGTTAGTAAGTGGAACGTCATGGGAAAAGGTTGATTCTAGAGCCTTTGCTGGTAGCTCTGAAAAATCTCAAGATATCAGGCTTTAAAATCATGACGTTTTAATATGTAAAGGTTACTTTAGTACTAATTTTGATAGCTGATTTACATGTTATTCTATTTTTTTCTCTTATTTAGGCATACATAGTTGCTTTCCTGGTTAACCTTGTGGCTTTATGGGCAGGCTGATTAAGCACGTATTTCTATTAGTATATTTTTTGTCTCCAAACAGTCCTAAAATTGCTTGGTGGCATACACAGGCAGTGTGGGTAGGAAATAAATGTATTGCTGCTGTTAGTTTGGGATGACCTGAGTAAGTCATTTAGGACTTTTTTCTGTACAAGTTTACAGCCATCAAAGTCGTGCTAGCAGTATGTACAGTTCCTCTATTGCTTTTCTCTTTAGGTATTACATAGTAAAGATTACAGACACAGTGGTGGCAAAGTGCACAGTGCTGATTACCATTTGATTACTCTTTGGATAGTAGTATAAAACTTCAGTATGATTATGTGAACAATATTGCTAAATGATAAAGGTAATAGGAAGGGTAATTTTCAATTTTTGATGTAAATCCTAATACAACTCAATAGTACTCTGTAATACAGACTGATATTTAGAACTTTTTCTGTACATGAATTTCTTCAGCATCATTAAAAGCAATGAGCATGATATATACGCTAAAAAGGAAGACTTCATTTCAAGAGCTTTTCCAACCCAGTCTCACAGACTGGATCTTTGAAATTCAGTCTGAATTACCTGTGACTTCTTGCCAAATATAAAGCTATTGCAGGAAAAAAAAATCTGTTGTTTATATGAAATTTTCAAAGTCCAGTGCAATGCGGTACATATTAAATATGTAACATAGCCATTAGCTCTTAATGGCTGATTTGGAAGGGCATCTTTGTGCAAGAGGAATCTTTCTAATTTTTCCCTGTCCGCTACAAGTTAGTAGGACATATTCTTAAAGACCTTAGTTGAACAAAAGTGTTATGTAAGAGCTGTCCATAGTGAAATACCATTATTTCAAAAGTGTGGCATAGCTAGCAGGCCTATAAAATCTTAGTAAAATCATCTCTCTCTTTTTTTTTTTTTTTTGATTACATTCTGTTACCTCTAACATGAAAGTAAAATCCACATATTTAGCCTTGGCAATGTTAGTGCTTCATCAAGAGACTATGGCATGCTAGTTTAATTTGATGGTTCTGTTGATTTCCAGTTCTGAGAATGGCTATAAAAATAGAAGTGACCTTTGTTTTCAGTGGAATTACTTACGTTGCCTCAACTGTTCAAAAGCAAAATCAATTTTACTCTAATTAAATCAACATGGATTTTTATATTTCTTACAAAAGCTTTTTTTCTCCTCGTTTTGAGCCTAATTTAGCATGAAAAATAGACTCTACTGAGACTGCTGTTGTTGTTAATCATGTTTATGATGATAGTGCTTAAGCAATCCAACTAGGATCAAAGCTCCATTCTAGTAGATACTGTACAAACACGTAACAGTAGGCACACCCCACCTTAAAGAGTTTATTATCTGAAGAGACAAGACAGACAAAATGTAATGAAATGGATCACAAGCAAAGCTATCAATATGATGTTGAGAGGTATTGTAGGGGAAAAAATGAAGAAGAGAGGAAAGAAAGAGATAAAAGGTATGAGAGAAAAGGAAAAATGTTATTACAGGCAAATACAGAGTTGACTTTCAGAAATCAGAAAATGAAAGAGGGTGTACAAGTTAATTTTACAGAATATAGAGGCCTGGAGAATCAAAGGTGATTGAACAAAATAAAAATTTTAAGAATGTTTAGGTCTTATATACCTCGGTGTTATGAGCAAACAGGCACCACTAAGGATCTCTTTCATTTATTGACAGTATGGGAATAAGGATGAAAAAGCAATTTAAAACATATGAAATGTAAATAATTAACTATAGAATTTTCTTCAGTAATGTATTACATTTAGTTTTAGAGAGTAATCATAAGAAAAAAAAAAAAGAATTTGTCAGTCCTCTCTGTGATATAGAAGATGACACTGACTCTTGGGGAGAAGTTAGTAAGATCGATGTTATTGAGCAGTTGTTGTTGCTTTTATTAGTAAGCCTGATTTGTTTTCATAAAAGATAAGTGAGACAAATGATAAATACACCTAAAAGGGAAAGTTGAGGAGAAAGGGACAACCAATACGGAGAATGAAAGTGTCTGTTTTTCTCTTGAACTAAGTTACAAACAAGAGTTGGCAGTGACTAACTAGCTCAGTAGGTGCTCTCTCTTGTTTGCAACTTGACAGAGGACTAAGACAGAAACAAGGAACAAGCCTGTAAAACAGCTCTCCTTGTCCATCTTTTCTGTATTCTCTAAAAGAGTAGGTTTTATCTTTTTTGACATTTACAAGCATAAACTGTAACAAACAGGGTAAGACTATTGTTACCTTAAGAGTATCAACTCATGAACTACTGAGGAGAGGGGAGTAGAACGTGCAGCAAAGGCCAGAGAAATTCCATTTTAGAAATTTAATTTCTTCATCAAAATACCTTCCTAGAGGTATATTAACAGAAGGCAGCTTGGATGCTAGTTAGGGTTGGTTTCCAAAGAGTGGACTCACTCACTGTAGTGCCTGTAACAGGAAAATGTTCAGAAGGCTAGTATTTGCCACCCTCCCTCCTTAAATCCACTAAGCTCCACCCACTTCTGTAGCTGCTCTGGCATATGTTATTCGGTACGATCATGTACCAAGTTAAGATGAGTCCTTTCTTTAAATTATTTATATTAGACAACCATTATGTTAAGCCTGAAGAAGAGTAATAAGCTATTTTGAGAAAGATCCTGAAATAACATGGTAAACATTAGCCAAGGAATGTTGCCTTTACTGTACAATCCATCCTGAGTTAACAGGTATTGTAGTTTTAATAAATTCATTACCTCTCTTTTGGGAGCTGTGTATTCTGCCAGGAGTTCTATTAATTGGGAAAGATTTTAAGACCCAGTAGTAGTTCCACAAGAAATAACATATGAAAGTAGATAGGCAAAATTGATTTATGAAAGGTAAACATGAAGTTAATTTGCAAGAGTGAAGATCATGATGCAAAGCTCAAGCTGCCCAAATTAAGATGTTTTCACCATTTCCTTTCCAAAGTATCATTAATGATTCTTTAATAAGACCAAGAGTTCCTATATAAACGCACAGTGTATGTTTGACTTTCAGACATCATTGCCCAGTGAATTATTCAGCAATTCATTCTGAACCCACTCCACAGACAGGGATCTCTTTCTCTTTGAAAACAGGAGTGCTTTTATAGAAACAAGCTGCAGATTAGTTCTAACTCTTGGCCCAGCCTTAGTGAGTAATCTGTGTCCACTGGGCTTTACTTAAAAGAGGATCCTTCTTCTGAAGTACAGGCATAGAGGGAAATGATAATCCAGTTCAGATTAAACTGAATGGCTCAGTAGGGAAAATATCGTTTTGGCTAACTAACACAGAAACCAGAATTATATGTTACGTCCTCAAGAAATCTCTTGTGCAGTTAGAGCGTTCACGATAAATGATCTCACTGATGCAAAACAGCATTTGGATGCATTCAGTGGCATTAACATTAACAGGTGTTATACATGCAAGTATCCCATGCATCAGGGAGACATGAGAGTGTCAAGTAGATGTGAAAGCCTTCTTGTTATGAGGAAATCGTTAGTTCCTCTCAGTAATAAGGCAGCAAGGGGAACTCTTACAGATGTCTCACAAAGTGTGCTTTCTGAGTGCTACTTAACTTGTTGCATGCTAAGGGAAGCCATTTACAGTACTGCAGGTCATACGTTCCCGGTGTCTGTGACTGAACCGTAAGATGTCATCTCTTACGAAATCCTGCTGCCCTCCATATCTACACAGGACTCTCTATGGAACAGAAGTTAATTCTAATCCACAGGATGACTATTACACTGAGAACAAAGGTTTACAAAGGATATTTCAAACACCCACCAGATTTTTGTTCTTAATGAAAAATTTGTGGCTTACCGAAAGTGTTCTGTTGCACATTTGAAAGTCTTTGGACTAAAACTATTCAAACAAATGTATTGACTATTTTGATGTAATAGCTGGTTAAAATCTTACCCTGAAGAACTCCAGGCAACACCTAGACTGAAAAAAAACCCCACCTAGTAGCAAAGCAGCTAAGCGGAGGTCCTTTTCCTTTACTTGGAAAGTAGTTGTCATTTCTCACATTCACTCTGTAATTTAAAAGCTTGCTGTAGTTGTTTTAAGTAAAGATGTTCCTAAATGCTTGAATATATTTTGTGAAACACAGGAAACATTGCGTGTGTGTATAAAAGGAACATAGTTTGTAATGCTGAGATTTTTAATAAAGATAGGAACAAACGTTTTATGAGATCAGCATAAAGGAATCTCTTCTTTAGTTCTAGATTCCTGGAAACACCTTTGTTTCTTGATTGATGACGGAGTCTGATTATCTGGTAGTCTAGTTGCTACTCGTTTTACTGGCCTCTAAAGGTAGAATGGCTGGCAGCATAACTTCTGACACTCTGTATGAAACCAGGTGGTTGTGCAGAATGTATCTATGAATGTATCTGAGTAACTAAGTGCTAGAGAAACTACATTGTTTTCATTCATTTAGTTTTGACATGAAACTACTGTTTAAGAAACTGAGTCTGCCACTTAGGCAGTATCTTGCTATGTGACACATAATGATTTAGGACATTTGTAAATGGATGGTAAATATTGAATGCTGATGACATCACCTGGCTCATCTCCAATTGAAAATAATTACTTCTAAAAAAATTTACTTAGGGCTTTCCTCCTCAGGCAGCAAAGTTCCTGTTTTGCTTCCAGATTCGCTAACTTTCCTCACAATTTCCAGATGCATGTATACACTGTGAATACAAAAATATGTGGATGAAAGCTTATAACAGGAAGTCAGTAAGGCTGAGTTTAAAAATACTTACATACTAAAGATGATGACTGACTCCTGTTGGGAATTTAAACAGTGCTGAAATGAACCATGTTTCTAAGCATCTAAGTACCTCTGAAAATGTTCAGACTTCAATAACTTTTTTTAATATGATATCAGAAGAACTGTTGTCCTGATCATAATAATCACTTCCATAGTGCATCAGATAAAATTCTGCTTTCCCAAATTAAAATGAAATTGTCACAGAGTTTCCACCTGCTGCAATAGAGTGCATCAGAAAATGTAACCATAGAACAAGGTCCACCTTGCTGCATGATACAGGAGATCTTCAGTAGAGGCAGTCTTCCTGTTGTATTGTATTGATGCATTAAAATAAGTCAATTCTCGTCAGAAAACATTGTAGAGGAATAAAAAAGGTTATAAAATAGCCTGGTAAGAGCTATGCACTCTTTACAATTTCTAAGGAAAAAAAAAAAAAGATGTCTGGTGGTACAGCATGCCATTGTGATATCTCATGAGAAATGACATGAAAACCAGAGTGAAAAACTCATGGCTCTAATTGTGTTATTTATACAGATACTGCAAAGTTTTAGAAGTCAACAGAGTTGACTGGATTTTTGTCAATCTGCCTAAGAGCAACATTTTGCAGTGGGCTCTTTAGAAAGATGAAGTAGTTGACTAAATACAAATATTGGACATAGTTTATGATCAGCCAGTCCAGATCCCTCAGCTTCATGAAATAAAGTATTAGCTTATCTAGTATTATGGAGTAGAAAATATAACAGAGAGGCTAGCTCTTCACACAGTGTTATACATCCTTCTTTCACAACCTCCTGTGTAGTATTGCTTGACATGCTGATACAAGGGTATTTGGAAGGCTGTATTTCACTGTCACTGAAAGGATGAACTATTGCTCTGTTATAAGCTTCTTTGGTGACCATGAACAAATCCCAGTTTCTCTTTGCTTCACTTCTGCATCTTTGAACTGCGAATATTACTGTTTTCCTTTAAACTTTTTCTTAATTAGACTCTAACTCTTCAGAGCAAAGACTGCATTTTACTTTGAGCATGTACAGCGCCTAATATAATGGGGCCATTGCTTTGGCACAAACCTCTAGGCAAAGCAAAAATATTAACAACAGTGTGATAGAAATAATGATGGTAATGACAATGTTCATAACACATTTTTACATGCAACTTACATTGACTTCAGTAGTCTCTAAATGGAATGAAACCTAGAATGCTTTCTAGGTGTAGGTATGAATGTAGTGGAGTCTTATAATTTTGCTTATGTTTTCACTTTTTTGTGTTTTGTTTAGGGAAATTTAAGTTTTTCTTGTGTGGAGCCACATACAGTACCTGTCTTTTTCAATGCCACCAGTTACCTTGAGGTTCCTGGTCGTCCAAGCCAGGATCTGTTTTCAGTCAGTTTCCTATTCCGAACCTGGAACCCCAACGGACTTCTTGTCTTCAGCAACTTTGCAGATGGGCTGGGGAATGTCGAGATTGACATAACTGAGGGCAAAGTCGGCGTCCATATCAACGTCACCCAAGTCAAGAAGAACAGAATAGACATCTCATCAGGTAAGTGTTTTTTTTAACTGATTTTGTTTTTGTGGGTGTTCTCTAAAAGCGTCATGGACTTCAAAAGTGGAAGAATTGCTAGACAGAATTGGAAATTCAAATTGTAATAGTACACTTAATTATTCTAAACGAAATCATTTATTTCATGCTTCATTGAATAAAAGTGCAGAAGAATATTAATATAGTTGTTGGATTAAAACAAAAGAAGACCAAAATATTCTGTGGTCAAAACCAGAAGCCATATCACCCCTTATCAGGCATCATTCCTTCTTTCTTGCTTTCTTGCATCAATCTTTCAGTCTTCTCTGCACAAACATTCAGTTTCAACAGGAGAGGGCAATATGTACCCTTTGTTGAGAGTAGCTTAATAATTAGGAAACACTTATTAAAAAAAAAGTTGTTTTAACCACAATGCTGTTACGAAAAGTACCCTGACATTTTCCAAGTATTCTGTAGAGTCATGATGGAGAAGTAGCAGAACTTTCAATACCTGTCTAAGGAGGTTTTGGGAAGTACTGGCTAAAGAATTACACAGGGTTAGGTTTGTTTCTGGAAGGGAAGGTGTGTGTACGTGTTTCAGTTGATAAGCCTTTTGAACTTACTTGATGCTTACCTTTCGCTGAATTCTACTTTTGGTCTAAATACTTTATGGACATCTCTGGATCAGTTGTGGGCGGTATGGTGTTATCTAGGCCATGTCAATTAACACATTTTCTTGGTAAAGTCATGGTCTACAGTGTGTCTAATCTTCATCTTCATGAATTGGATAGTCCAAGGTTACTTGCAAATGGATCTAGTTCCACAAGATACTGTAATTATTTGAAGTAGCTTATACATCAACCCAGTTCATTGCCCAAAAAGGCAACCTTTTTGCCTGAAGTCATCTATGGTTACTGTTTTTTCCAATAACTTGATGAAGACTGAAGTATTTCAGCCATAAAATTAACAAGAATGATATACCAGTAGAGCTTAGAACAAATGAAAAAAAATCCTATTTTTCATGCCTACTGTTCTGTTTGATTTAGTATGTGAAAATGTATTCTCTACGTAGTATTTTAAACATGGACTCTTGAGGAAATGTAAAACAAGAAGGAATTTTTTTTTTTTTAAATAAAGCATTTGTTAAGCAGAATAGTAACATTTCATTTGACAAGTAGGTATTTTTGCAAGTTTTATCTTTTCACCCCATTAATAAAATAGAGGTGAGCATGAAATTTAATTAATTATTTTAAATCTAGAATGGAATTAAATATGGGTAAGAACGTACCTATTTTTTAAAATGAGAATGTTTTTATGAAAAATACATCAACTCTATTTCCTCCATTACAATTTTCTGAGCACAAAAAAATCAATACTGTAAGATGCAAGTATAAGTAAGTGTTTCATTGCCTTTGTCATTTAATATAATCACGACAGAGTTAAAGTATTGTTTTGGCTATACTGTAGGATCCTGAACGAGAATGTTTTGTTAAGCTGTTAGTGTGTCGTAATAAGTAAACACGTGATTGTCAGCCTCATGCTTTCTTAGCTCTACCTATTCCAAATTCCAGTTTAAACAGAGAAGTGGCTAACATGATACTTCTTCGTAGGTTCCTTTTACCTTTTTGTTGTTTCAAAAAAGGATTTCAGTGTTGATTAACAAAATATGAGAAATTAAAATATCAGCTAATGTGGTTAATTTTGTCCAGGAAATATCTTGCTGTGAAAAACTATTTTAAATTCCATTATGTTCATGTTAGGGCAAGTAAACACATGTGAGGACTGTGCTAAATGCTAGTTCTAGTTTCTCCGGACTCTTCCCCCACAACAACATTAAAAAATCCTCATCTCTTTTCATTGTTGCAACATGAAATCAGAATACTCATACTGCTTCTTCAAAATGAATATTTTCGGTTTATATCATCAGTTCACATAATAGGTCAAGAATCACACACAGACATTCCTTTTTTTAGCCATAATTCTGTTTTTCATTTCTGTACAGCATGATATCTACATACATACCATGGTTTGGAGATCTTGAAGATCTTCATCTTCCAGAACTGTGTCACCATAATGAAAATATATTCATTGTTTAATTTTGATTATATGGACCCCTTATTTGCATAGTTGTCCCGTAAAAGCCTTGATTTATTTTAATAATTTGTTGTTACTTGATTCAGGGAATGTGAAGTGAATCGTATGTGTGAGAATAAGTAAAATATGACTTCTGCCAGGGAAAACTGGAAAAGAAATTTTGCTATTGGAAGGCAAATATCACAGCAACCTTCCTGCTCCCTTCTTCCATAGGCAATTAATAGACTTCAGCATGTAAACTTACTGGGCTTATGTAGAAGTCCAAATGGTCTATCTTTAGCACAAAGGTTTCTGATTATTGCAGTCATATAAATTTAAGATACACACCTTTTCACTGTTTTTTTACAGTGAAATGGCTGGAAGAGCAGAATTTTCTGTTAAGCCAAGTGTGCAGCCTTCTACGCAGGGGTGTGAATAACTACCGTTCTATATTTAGGGAAGTATGCACCCCAGTTATCACACAGAATTAAGCTATCTGAAGCCACAAGCTAGATGCAGGTGTTTTGCATTTCATAGCTTTGCTGTACTTAGGCCAGCCACTTGTAATAGCGTATCTTCACTGGAGGAAGCTGAAGCATCTCAGTCTTTATATCTGTCATAATTTATTAGCTTACTTTCATTAGCACTCTTAATGGGGGCTTTCTGTGTTGACATGGGCATATCAGCGCTTCAGTCTGGGGCATAGTCTCAATCTGGTTATAGAAATAATAGCTGCCAAGGATTATATAACAGAACTGTATGCTGATCTGCAAGTGCTAGCCTTTATTCCTAAACATCCCTACGTTAATGATACCGGCGTGGAACAGAGTTCTGTTTTGTCTGTTCTTCAGTGTTGTGAGTTTCCTTAAATTGTTCATACCACAGTGGTGATGTACCAATTTTCCAGTCCTCGCTAGGAGCTGGCAGCACTGGCTTGGGGAGTTCTAGCCTAGCCTGAGTGGAGTTTATGTGAAGAGGAGATTCTAGCCTTCCAGTATATCAAACAGTTAAATTCCTACCTTTCTAACTGGAAGCCGGACACTGCAAACTTCCTTATTGAAGTATTGGTATAAAGTGCTTTATGATGGCTGGGAAGGATCAGATAGTATGTCAAAAATAAAGATTTTCTTTTCAACTTGGCGGAGTTTTCATACCTAATTCAATAGAATGTGTTGTTTAAGGACAGTGTTGTTAAGGACGTTGTTGTTTAAGGCAGTTGTAGTTTTAACTATTTTGATGGCACTTTACGAAAAATAAACATGGAATAATGTATAAAAGGTGGATCTAAATGAGCTGCACTTCTAGTCCCATATAGTACATGGATCTATGTTTATTACTACCTATAGATTCAGTAAGATGAATAGTTTACAGGGCACTGTGAAAAGTATTGAGGATAACTGTAAAGTTTAGAGGCAAGAAAATGAAATGTGAGCAGAATCAATTGACTGTGTTACGAACAGCGAGAGCTACTATTAATCTGAGAAACTGCAAATAGGTTTATGGTTTATCTCTGAAGGCAATTAATTCTACTTTTTCCATTCTGTATAGTGTATGAAGGGATGTGTTTAACCAGAATATTGCTAAGGTGGTGAAATAGTGTGAGTGCAAAAAGTGTAACTTCTGTGCAGATACAGTGACTATGAGAGGTTTACTTAGCGCACAGTGAAAAAAGGTTTGGATAAATAGTATGTGGATCGTAGGAATCAGGACGGGACATTGCTTTACGTTAAAAATCACGAAGATTTAGAGTTGCTGTCAGACAGTCTGTTCTTAGCAGTCTGTTCTTTGGACTGCTGGCATGCTTTGTTGCTCTCATTAGTTGTCTGTTCTGTTTTTGTCAGGGACATACTTTCCTAGTTAGTAGATCACAGTAAGAGCTCTTAGGTCTTGCTTAATATTATCCTTTGGTCTTCCAAGAGACACTTAATGGCTCCTTCATTTATTTAACCACATGTTCTGCTTGCTGAAAATTTCGCTTGACTCAGTTTCTCATGAACTTCTCTCAATTTCTTATTCATCCTCATTGGATCTGTAAGTCACCCCAGGACTTCATTCTCAGATTTTTTTTTTGTATCTGAAGGTTTCTCATTGGTTGTTGGGAGTTCTGCCTCACCTCCTTACCTCTGATTACAGCAGTTAAGTTTATCTGTATTGTGAACATTGCCATCCATATTATGAACATTAGACAATATTCATATTTATTTTCTAGAGATATACTAAGGAGAATCAGGGATGATTACATATATTGTAGCCCAGTACGTATGATTTTTACATTACTAGTAAAAGGCAACAGACTTTGTGTTGACCTGGCGGAGCAGAATCTCAGGACTTTGAGCTGGTTGTACCTTGTTTAACAGTAGCTAAGCGACTGGTGCCTGCCCTGGCTGGGCTTCAGCTTGGTGAATCCTATAGACAGAAAAGACCTAGTAATAGCTAGTAATAAATCCTTGGCTATATTGATACAATTCTCCTACCTAAAATAAATTTTTGAGTGTAACAAAATATTTTACTTTAACATGCAATTCATTTTCCAGTTTGAAGTACATAGGAAAACAACAGTCAGTCCCCATGATTTTACTTACTTTATTTGGAGCAAATTTTCTCTTTTTACCACGGTCTTGCCATTTGGTCTTTCAAAATAAAGATCTAAACAATAAAAAAATCCTTCCCTTCCCCACCCAAAATTCTGTTAAAAATGTTTAGTAAACAGTGTTTACCTGTGCACAGACTGGCAAGTTATTCAGGCACTATCACCGTTTGATGGATGAGAGTTACAATAATAAACTTGCTATTAGTAAGAGGAAAATCAGGCCTACTGGAAGCTGAAACAAATAAGAAATAATTACAAGAAATAAGCTACTGACTGTGCAAAATTACATAGGTAAAATACATACAGCTTGCATATAAATCAAGAGTTAAATATCCTATTGACTTTTTTTCTGTGGAGT